TATACATACGAGTAATTGTATACTTGTAGTCAAGAAAATTCATGCCAGCACACTTACATTGCCGAGAAGAAGTAAAATAAACAACGAGCCTATCTGCCAATATTCGAGTACATTGCGTATACGCCACGTGTCTGTGAACTCTTTTTTGGGGGCAAGTCAAGCAAATAGCTGGACATGACTAGCACCACTTGCTCCGGTAACATAACAGGTCCGTTCATATACAAAGTAGGCCAATCAAGCCAGGACATTCAGCTGCAGACGCTGCCATTGTCGAGCAATTAGGCGCACATACGAGCACACACACACACACATACGTGTACACTATTCGTCGAGAAGTTAGCAAACAAGTTCATCGGCTGTCATTTGAGAACATCCCCACATTTGCTGACAACGGCGCCTCCGTTTTTGGGGAAGTGTGCACGCACTTTCACGCACGAATAAACAGGTCAGCTCACGCACTGTCGCACACAGCCATGCCCAGCCATGCCCTCTCGCAGACCCCGCTCCCACGCAATGCATCGTCGGCTGTTGGCCATCCTTTTAGGACCGTGTTCAAGCAAATCAAGCGTAAAGTGGCGTTGAAAGTTCTCGGTCCCGCATTAACGGCATGCATAAGACATTCGACCCAGCCCAAGTATTTCGCTCAGTTGGCTTGTTGGTGTTTCCGAAGCCGTTTGTTTTTATCTGCGAGATTGCTGCCTATTTTCCCCCCTTTCTAATTAAATGCTGAAGGGGTGTTACTTGCTCATAGTTTATGCAGTGCTAGAAAAAACACCCTTTCTATTATAACGAGCTTAAATTGATGTTTGAAAGCATTCGATCTGTACCTTATTTACACATTTTATCGGTATTATTAGTTGTCTGGGAGGGAAGAAATAAGGCTTCAAGAACTTGATTTAATTTAAACTTTTTTCTTAAAGCGAAGCTCCTTTAGTACAACTTAAAACTAAATGATTTAAATTCAGGAGATGCCCCTGCCAATTTCCTCACATCACAAGTGATTTTATTTCTGCACATCAGATGTCTGTTTCTATTCTAAAAACTATCACAAGAAATCGGTAGAAACGCGAACGCACCTGCAATACGAGTACGAGGCACAATTTAGTCCCTATTTCTGAATTAGGTAAAAAAATGTACCAAAAATTGTCACTTTATTACTGAATTAGATCAAATATTTTCAACCATAATCTATCAGTTATATATAGCTCCGAAAATTGATGCATAAATTGGTGGAGAGCCAAGTACTGAAGTAAACTAAAGGGGGGTCTTTGTATTGTAACGTCAGTTTGTTGTCCAAAATTAATTAATTACTTTAATGTTAATTTTATAAAAACAAAGACCCTCTATTTAGAATACAAAAAGAAAGCTTTAAGCTAGCCATAGTTTAATACAAGCTTCTCACTCGTACTTGTGTTTATTCCATTTATGCAAAATTTACTCATTATGGCTAATCCTCGTTTTACCAAAACCTTTTGCATACTTGTATCTTATTCATTTGGCTTTTTCTGTCCGTGTACGCTACGGTCGTGCCAACTATTGCATTATTTATATTTGAGTTCTCCGGCACCGGTCCGTGTCCTTTTTTCTATTCCATTCTGTTGTTCATTCATGTAGTTGGCTGAGCACAAGCGTGGGGCAAGAAGGCAGTTAAAGACGATGTCTTTCTTTAAGCGGAAGAAAAGTTGGACTGCAACAGAAATATATGGCGTCAGCGTAAATATTGCGCGTAATTATTTGTTTATGCGTTAATTATTAAAAAAGTTAATTACTGCAATTCGTACACGTCCGCAACAGTCTGCAACGAAAACAGCACGCTCTCAAGCCATTCTTCCACTTAGCACGCTTGGTTGCAGTAGTTTGCGAACGAAGCGAGTCCCTTGCAGGACAGTTCACTTAAGGATGGGGTGGGACTGGGGTTGGGATTGGGGTTGCAGCATGCAAAAGACTTTGCAGTGTAATTTCATTATGAGAGGCACGCGCCGGGGCACGAACCATCATTCAAAGACAGGAAGAGCTAGTGAGGAAGGAGCTAGATAGCAGCTAATGATGCATGCCTAAGTAGATTACAAACATGTTTTGATTGCCTTGGACTCAGCTCCTGTCAGGTACAGCCCACACACAGGCATTGTTTGCAGGTTGCACTTTAGTTTCAGCGCCTCCGATGGTCTGTGATGGCCTGCGAAGCTGCCGTGGTCTGGAGCCCGAGTTAATTGAATTCTCTTGCAAATGACATCGCTGCCTGACAACTTGCTTTAGGCCGGCTGGCAAATAGTGTTCATTTTCCTCAAGCCTACGACGAACAGTTTCAATTGGGGCCAGGCTGTGATTCCTGCCATGCAATTAGCGGCATTGAGACTGCAAATCGTCAGTCAGTGTGTGGCTGCAATTTTCCATTAAGACCGGCGCTTAGTGGCCTCTCCAATATATAAATCCCACAATTTCCACTCACTCTATCCATATATGTATACATTTTCTCTTTATACATGATCCAAACGGCACTTCAAGCATTCCAGATGAACGCGCACCTCTTCAAGCATCCAGCCCGCTCGTCCGCTGACCATTTTTATTTACATCGGGCGTTGCGAAACATTTCAAAGTTAGAAATGCAGACGAGAAAGTTCCGCCTGAGCGTAGGAAAGAAAATGTTGGAAAAATAAATAAATATGAAACAACAGAACAAATCCCAAGCAATTTATTTTTAGAATATAAAACTACGTATACGTGATTAAAACGACGGACACACTTAAGCACACACACACATTTACACACTTGCGTATACACACTACAACCACATGGTTGAGGGAGCTGTCAGTTTATGTGTTCGCTGGTTGATAATCCCCAAGCCTAGAGATGAGCATGTGGTGCGTGTTGTGGTTAAAGCATTGGTCTTTAAGTGTGCGAACGAACATGTGATACTATATAAATTGAATGAAATTTGAGACACAAAGCGATTTGTTGGATGTAAATGCAGCATTGTATTCCTAAAACCAACAACTATTGACGACAAACCAGCTCTTCTAGTACGCTATAACTAACTTATTCCTATTTATTTCAATTGAAATGAAACAAATTCTATTGCATTTGCTTAAGTCGTCTGAATTGTTTAACTTTGCTTTCGATTGCTCTGCCAAATGACACAGAAAGTCAAAGTTGTGAATCAAGGAGAATGCTACGGCCGAGCAGTAAAGTGTCGAATAAAATAAATAGTGTTACGTGGAGATAGAAGAGTCTTCATGTCTACTTTTGTTCATCCAAACCGCTCAATTCGAAGAAAAGTCAGCCTTCGGCTATATAACTGAGCAAAAAATAGTAAACATCTTCGATAAGAGATATTTGAGATGGAAAACCAAAAAAAAAAATCTTTAAAAATGCGCAACACTAGAAAATTTAAGGTAAAGAATAATGGGCAACTCTTAGAATAAAGGATGCACCGTGAGACAGGAGAGCTATATAAATCTCAGGAATATATGAACAAGAAACAATTTTAATACGTTTTTCGTGTTTATAATAAAACACTGTATATTTTAACATATCTTGTTTAGTTTCGGTTTAATTAGAAAAGCTAAAATACACAAGCCTTCTTTTAAATATTTAAAAAAGGCAAAAGACAAAGGTCTTATTTTAAATATGAGCCTCGTCGAACTCTGTGAGAATATTCAATTGTTCTATTTTCCTATTTATGAATCAGCTGGACCATGTCTGTCGGTCCGTGTGTCTGTATAAACCAAAGGATATCAGGAATTATAGGTACTAGAATATTCAAAGTTGGCATCCAGGCTCTCGTAGGTCCGAGTTTACGCCTTTTTTTATATTGTTGAAAAAAGGTTTTTATGAATGTATGTTATTAAATAAAATTACAAATTATAAAAGTTGTATGTTTTTTTTAGTTCAGTCCGACTTAAGTGCGCATTCTTAGTAACTCAAAAATTACCAAACTAAATGTAGCATACGAGTTTTCTATTAGATTACAGTGTCTTGGTAATTTCTGGGCTATGTTATTATTTAAATCTCCTCCTGTCCATCGTCTGATTATCTAAAAATAGCCAGTCTACTTGTACTAGCCAAAGAAAAATTTAAGCGAATGCTAAGTGCACCGAATATTTTAACATAACACTCTTAATTAAGTAGCTCTAGAGGAGCCTTGCCTTACCCTAATCCCTGATCTGTACTCATAAATGAGTCTTTTTTAGTGAACGCTTTTTTTTAAATGACAGGCAAAGCTTTTCTTTAGAAAATATTTAGATCATTTATACATTTCTTTAAGAAAATCAACACAACTGTCTAACCACTGGACAAGCTAATTAGTTGTCACACATTTATAATTATTATACTTGTATTAAGTAATAATAGAAGTTCTCCCCATTTGAACTCATAAGAAACCGCTAATGCATTTAGGAGACCTACATACAAGTACTTATAGGCACTATATCCGAGCCAAAAGTGAATGCTGAAGTGCGTGCGTGCGTTCGTGCGTGCGTGATTTCAGCGCCGTACTGTGGCCGTGGCAGGCAGAAGGCGGTGGTACTTTGCGGGCGTTGCTCGGCTTCTGACCCAGTTTTGGCGGGCGCGTGAAAAGAAAAAGTGAAACATACTAAAAATAAATTGTACAAAAAAAAAAAAAAGAGAAACAAACAAACAGAAACGTCAAGCAGTAGCGCAAGAATTTATGCTTGATGGCGATGGCAAAAGGAAGACATACAAACATATACTTGTAGTAAATTATTGTTTACATGCCGCACGTACTACGTGTAGAGTACACCTCATTCTCGCAGTTACACACATTGGCGTTGCGAATAAATAGAATAGTATCTTTTGAATTTGTGCTTTTCTGCTTGCCTGTGGCTTGTTATAATTTGTATTTGAACAATTTCAGTGCAAGCTGCCAAGAACTCGCTTTACGTTTACAATGTTTTCAGCATATTTTCATTTCTGCATAGCTGTCACATGAATTTTATTTATATTATATTTTCGCATTTGTCTGCCATTTCTTTTTTTTGCAGCGCACCAAACCAAAAAGACACACACACACAAACGGCAGACAGCAAACAGCAAACAACAAGCCTATTGAATAGCAGCTGCCGCACAAGATGCTAAACGCACGTACTACAACATAATTTGGTCAATCTCATTTGCCTAGCGACTTGCCACACGCCAGTCCTGTCCAGTCCTGCCCAGTCCAGTTCAGTTCAGTTCAGCTCAATTCAGTCCAAGCACAGTCAATCCATAAGCAAAACGCATCCAAAATGGTCGACGACATCTCACCCATGCATCATCGCATGCAGAAGAAGACTCGTAGCGCATCCATTTGCGCTACGGGGGCCAGCATCGAGACAATTATACACAACATGCCCTCGGGCAGTGCCACGCCCGAGGGGGGCACGCCCGGCTACCGCCGACGCAGACCAGCAACGCGCACCCAGAGCGCCCGCATCACCACAGGCGCCAGATCGGTAAGTACTCACTACTATACACACTAACTTAATTGGCTGTCTAGCACTTTCACTTACAAGTGCCGTTCAGTTAAACCTACATATATATAGGACGAGTATATAGAGATACTCGTACTTGTGTTCATATGCCCGTATATCCTTTGAGTAGCTGACACACTCACACATTTATGAGAGGACATCACGTAGAATTTGAATTACATATTTGCTTGCACATTCGACAAACTTCGATGGAATAGTTTAAGTGCTTTTGTCCTTTTCGCATTTAAAGCTTTTCGCTTGCAATTTTAGTTTTAAAGCACAAAATACCAGAGTAACATGTTGCTGTGAATATTTAAGATTTTAAACGCCGACTTGAAAATTACAGATACACAAAAAATTTAAAATCGATCTATATGCTGTAGGAATGGGTGGTAGTAGGAACACCCCTAATCACTAACAATAATTAAGCAGTGACCGAATAGTGATTGAATAGCTAAATAGTGATAAGTAATCAATAATCGATAGCAACCGATAGCAGGGAAGTAAGAGTAAGTAAGTAAATAAGTAGGAGGACGCTTAGTGAAATTGGAATTAAACGGACATTTGTAAAACATTGTCAATTGTTATAAACCAAAGTAACCGAACAAACTTGAATAAACTCAATTAATCAATAAAAAAGAAATAATAATCATATTCAAAAATTTTTCGTATGTTCTGCTTATAAAGTGAAAAAATGTTCATTTATTCAACTAGTATCCTTGTTGTAAATATATCTTCCTGTAAGAAATAAACATTTGGCAATTGTGTCTGAGCTCGTTAGAGGAATGCTATATTTTAGCTATAGCCCGGCTCACAGCAGATTGGAGACATCGAAATCAAAATAGGGACATATGAAATTATTTTAAAGCAATGCAATTCATAAAAATTCATTTGATATAAGGTATTTATTGATTATTCTTTAAGTTTTATTTTTTTGATTAAAAATAAACCTCAAGTTGTAATTATCCCCACCTTTTTCATAGGGAATAAGGACAAAATGTATATATGTCCTTAAACAATAAGCCAAGCGAGCCCAATAGTACAGTTTTGGGCTAAAAAAAATCATTCTTAAAAAATTATTTTTAGGCACAATTACAAATTGAGTTTTATTTTTGATAAAAAAAAAAAATCTAAGAATAATCAATATTTTATAAGTTTTATTTGTTCGCTCAAAAATAATGATTATCAGTTAAGTTGTAAATTAAAACTCAAAATTTATCATTAAATTTTAAGAGAATGAATAGAAATTAAAATGTATAAATCATGGTGAAAATGCATATACATATGTATAATCCTTAACAAATTATGTCTGTTAATTTCTCGTTTTCTCAAAGTTATTATAAGGGAATGATTTTTTCGATTAAAAAAACAAACATAGTTATTTTTTGCGGTCCCAGGCACAAAAAGTACAGTTGAGATCTTTTTCTAATCGTTTGTGAGTTCTCAAATCAGAGCATGAAAAACATAATTTTCCATGATCATAAATAACACTGTTAAAAATTCATAAATTTAAAATAACACTCCGGGAAGAAAGGAAAAACGTTGGCATATGTATGTGCATAGAGGAGATTCATGCCGAATCGAAGAAGGCAGTGAAGGCCATTCCAGAATAGTGTTTCTTGGACTGTTTCGAGCACGGAAAAAACATATGCACATGTGCATTGCATACGGAGGGGATTACTTTGAAAGGGATAAGAAGATATTGAAATACGTCTCGTCGTGCTGAACATTTAATTGGGTGATCAACCAATACACATAATTCTGTTTTAACACAGTAGATTGATTCCAGAAAAAACCTTGTAAAAAAGACATTTATGATGTGCAAAAATATGTGACTGGTTCCTTAGCTCTAAAACCAACTAAAATCAGTGAAAAAAACAAGGATTTATGTTTATTTTCATAAATCACATATAATATAATGAGCATAATTACCCATATAAGAATGGTTTCTAGCTGTTTGTCAGCTGGGTGTGTTTTTATTTATTTAATTGGGAGTTATTTTGAATCGTGCTAAATGGAATAAAGTCATGTGTTAGATCGAAACCGTGTAAAAGCAGAATTAGGTGTACAAGTAAATCGACATAGCCATTTGAATTTTATTTTATTTATTTTATTTTAACATTTGTAACTTAGAATTAATCCTAAATCACAAAATTTGATACATATAAAAAAGTATATGTATAGCCAGAGCAACGAAGGCCTTCAGGCTGAAAATTTTATTTATAATTAAAATAGTGTCTAACATTCGTTTTATTGAATTTAAGTTATAAAAAAAATAATAAGTCTTAGGCAGCATCAAAACAAATAAAGTAAAGTAATGTTTTAGTGCGCGAAAGATACATTTATTTTAAACATTTCATACTAAAAAGTAATTCCTCTGCACTTTATGTGAATAAATGATTGAGCTGCTAATGTACCTTAATCAGCAAGTGGTGGCCATGCTAAACAGTCTACATTCAGGGTTTTGGACTATGCGTGCTTTTCTTGTAGGTAATTAGTAGTTTTACCCAATTATTAAACATTTGAAGCATGTACGCTTTTGAATATGCTAGAGTAATTATTTCATGTACATGAGACTGAAGCGCCGAAGAGCTTTCACCACACAAGCTCACGTGCTTGAAATTTTTCCGGCATGGCATGATGCAAATATCCCATCCCCCTTCCCATCGTCTCTAGCTATTTTTCGAATCGTTTGTATGCAGCTCCCATTACTCCCCCAAACTCCTGAAACCTGCTCGTCGACCCACAGAGGAGCTGCCTCCATTAATTTCCATACAAATTAGTTGGCTCAACTGGCGTGGTGCATCACGTGAAAATGCAATCACGTGCATGTTGGCGATTAATTTGGTCATGCATATATTCGTGGTTTTCCGCTTCAAACGGTTTTCACAAAATAAATAAACACAAGCGTGCGAAATGTGCTTAAAATTTGCAAGCAAACTAAAGCTGATTAACATTCTATGATAATCAGATAACGATAAAAGTGTAATATATTTCAGAATTCTGTTCGGCTAAGAATCGATTCCACGATCTTGGCACCCCTGCCTTCCAGAATCTCCTTTAACTTGAAATCAAATGATTGGGTCTGGAGATCACGATCGCTGCCTCTGGTAATCATTTCGTCCCTTTTTTCTAAGCAACGCGTTTTCCTGTCCTTGGCAGTTGGCACTGGCGGTTGAACCACTGGAATTCTTTTAGGTGGACACTGCTCCAATGGCTGCAGGCAATGGCAATAGCTGAAGCCCTTTATTAGATATTCCTCAAACTCCCCGTTATGCTTAATTAGCTGCATATATTCATCCAAGGGGGCCACGTCCAAAGGGTCCAAATTACCGAAGCTGTAGTCTAGTTTCAAATACAAGCTGTGAAAGTATTTAAAAATGTTCTCCACCAGTTCAAAGAAGAATCTCACGGGCTGGTGAAAGTTGTCGCCTTGTATGAAGGGCGTGTCCTGATTCAAATTTAGCTCCTTACGAATCCTCCGTATTTTCAGCATATTGGGACGAATACTGTGTAGGTGAATTTTTAACGCACGATTTGAAACCAAAAGGACTTTATGGGGGATGTTATAGTTGGCCATAATAGCCTCTTCCGGTTCGACGCCATAGATGGTCGGGCAATTGCAGCTGGGATCGGTTCGTGTGGCCAACATATAGCGTTGCGTTAGGTTCCAAAGCTCGTTCGTTGCCTTCCTCTGCACGATCAGCTCCTCGAGTAAAACCTTATAGTAGCTGCGATAGTCCTGCTCGATAATAAGCAACAAATCGAGCACACGAACCTCTGCCTCCTCATCGTGGCTTTTAGTCGAGCTTAACGATTCTGCGCTATCAGCTATGGGTTCCATTATGGCATCCACAATATTAGCCTGAGATTTTTCCATGTTTTTTTACCAAATATAAGTACGTGTTCGAAAGTTCTCTATTTTTTTATCAACTTTATGAAGACAATGAAGGAATATTCCAAGCTAGTATAATTCAAGCATGCAAATAATTTGTAAAGTAAGTCAAAAGAAAACTTTTAAAGTATATGTAAAAAAGAAATTAAATTAGATTTGGTTTTTATTGAATTAAGACTTAGCACTTTGTCTGCGCAAATCTTCATTTTTCTAGTATTTTATATTGAACAAAATAAATCGAGATATCACACATTTTAAGATTTGGATGATTTGAATGACTTTTTTATGACTTTAAAGCACATTTCTGTAAAGGTTTACGCGCTCTGTGCCTAATTGAACAAAATTAAACAGTAAGCAAATTTTTTTTGTTAAAAAATCATTTACAACCGGACATTTTAATTACCTTAACTTCTATTGCCATGGACAGGCGGGTGCAGATGATGATGCAAAAAACAACTAGGCTTCTCACTAGATATTGCCAAGTCAAATTTAGTAATACCTATTATTTTCATTTTTTTTATTTTATTATTATTTGGTTTTTTTTTATTAACGTGCACTTAAACTATTGTGGTAGACCCCACGCCAAACTATTGAATATTGTTTTATGATTTTTGAAATATATGGTCTGTATATTTTATAAAAATATTCTTAATGACTAGGTTTCACAGTTTTATTATCCTTCATGGATTTTCAGGAAATGGTTTTTCAGGACATTCGTTTAAAATTTTATGTGAAAAGACACAAATTTGCCACAAATGACTGAAACTCATTATAATCATTTAAATTTGTTTTTTTTTTTTTTTTTTTAATTTTAAATGCGCTGTTTTTGCTATTTATTCGCTGTTATTTATATTTTTAATTTAAGTGTCTTCTTTCTGTCCATGCAAAAAAATGGATAAATAGAAACACCAGATCTACCCACAAACTACATAATATGTGAAAACAAATCTTACCAATATTTCAACTCTTTCATAGCATTAAGAATATACCAAGATACTATATGTTTGTTGCATTTAAAAAACAATTTAGCTTTGCTATCGCACATTTATAAATATATATACATATGTATGATTCAAAGAAAACCAAG